ACAAAACACACACACAACATGCAATATGTCACACATATCTTGTAAAAGCAAATACTTCTTTGAAAACTATTTTAACTCTTCTAAAAATTTTATTTTTGCATAGTAACTCTACACACAAACATAAAATAATTAGCCACATACACGCCAAACTACACAGATGTGAAAAATGTAAAACACTGCTCTCGTGTGCCTTTTGCTTGTTCAGAGTGCAGTGGAGCACAGGAGTTTGTCATAGCACTCGCACATACATGCATTTGCACATATACACTGTATATACAGTATGTATGACTGAGGACTTTTACACAGTTATGCAACTGAACTGAATCAATACTGGACTGATTTGAGCTGTAGAATGACACTATTGACTTGTTAGAGCTGCTTTACAGCAGAATGTGAATTTGATACTATTGTGAAGCTGCTGTGAAAATCTATATTGTATAAAGCACTTTAGAAATAAAGATGACTTTCTGACTTGGCTTGTATATATATATATATATATATATATACACACTGAATATGCATACAACACAGATGCATATTCAGTGTGTGTGTGCGTGCATCTGTGTGTGTGTACTGTATATTCACTCTCAGAAATAAAGGTACAAAAGCTGTGACTGGGGTGGTACCTTTTCAAAAGGTACATGTTTGTACCTAAAGGGTCCATTTTGATACTTTATGGCTCGTTTCCACTGAGCGGTACGGTTGGTTACAGTACAGTACTGTAGACATGTCAGGGTGAAAAAATTACGTTCCAACAAGGAAGAAGGCAAGAGTAAAGCAGACAGGAAAGCCAACAGTCACTCTTGGCAGCGCAGGGACTCAAATAGGCAGCCGATTCCTCAAAGGTCCATGCGGCGAGTTCCACGAGAGAGGAGAGACAGAATCCAAAGGAATCAGCCAGGATTACAGAGACTCGAATTAACACGGCAACCACACCAATGATCTGACAACACAGGACGGAAAGCACAGACATTAAATAGCTGAGCTGATAAGCCACAGCTGGCGCTAATCAGCTGATTATCGCTGGTCACCGGCAACACACACACCCACACACACACACACAGAGAGAGCAAGAATGAGTCAGTGAGCCATAAACCGTGACAACGCAATTATTTCCGTTTCCACTGTCAGAAGTTGTGAATGGTACCAAAATAGTGAACCGTACCGTACCACTTTTTTGGTACCCTTCCGTTGGGGTACATAGCACAGCAAAGGGTACCAAAAGGGTGGAGCTAAACTCACTGCAGAACGTTGATTAGTTGACTAGAATCGTCACTTTTGCGTGATACAAGGGGATAAAGCTTCTCCTTCACTCGTTCCGCTCTGCTGTCCACGAGTGTTGGGCTCATTTACATCAGAGTGCGCAAACAAAAAAAAATATAACCGTGTATTTTATAATTTTATATTTTCACACAAACAATATCCATTTCTCAATATGCGTTCTTGTGGACTTGGGGTTAGCTTAACGTCATTGCCCAAAAACCTGTGTAATTTTCTAAATATTACTGTTGTATTGTGTCATGAAATGTAGTTTTAAGAGTTTTTCAGGTGAGAATGTAATTGTTTTTTTCTCAAATCTGTTATTTATAAAGATAGCACCTATTTGAAAATTTGCTATGCCGATTTTGGAGCTCCAGGCAATCAGCGGCGCTCAGTGCTCATGTATCCTCATAGAGCAGCCTTAGCTCGGCTAGTCCTTCCGACATTTGCCGCTGGCTCTGATGTCTCTGTAGTGATTAAACATGAGATACAATTAGTTTTGGGTAGGCTATATTTAACAGGCATTCGTGGTCTCATGAATCTATTATTTATTCCTGGTCATATTGTTTTGGCTGAGCACAAAGTTGTTTAACTTTATATATTTATTTTGAACTTTACCGTAGTACAGCGCTGACTTTGTAGCATACGTTTGACTGAATTGTTTGCTTTTGTCTTTATTTCCTCTTAGATAAGCCTCTTATACTTTGTACTTTTACTTTTATAATGGCTATTATTGTTCATTAAAACTGACATTTAACAAAAAGAGGCAGAGTTGTGCTTATTGTCGCGCTTTATCGTTGATCGCTACTTTCCGACATACACCACACCTATCAAGAAAGGTACTATTGGCAGTGGAAACGCAAGCTGGATCAGTGTTACCCATACCAAATCGTACTGTACTGAACTGTACTGTACCGTACCGCTCAGTGGAAACTTTTGTAGTGGGTATACTCTGATATTCCCTCCCAGCCTCATACTCACCGTCCCACAGCGACACCCCATAAGCACCACCACACTCACTAATTCATGGAAACTAATCATTAAAGGTATATATATTAGTACTTAAAGTGTACATATTTGAACCTAATAGGTAAAAAAGTGTACCTTACAGCTTTTGTACCTTTATTTCTGAGAGTGTATTTATACACACACTGAATACGCATATAAGCCAAGTCAGAAAGTCAGCTTTATTTATAAAGCGCTTGTACAATATAGATACAATGTAAACAGAAATGGAAGGGGGTAAAAATAATTTATTTCTAAAAAAAACAACAACTGAGTTTTGATTACTAAGTGAACAAATGATGTATAAGTGTTTTCACACATGATCACTGTGTGTAGGTCATCAGTAAATGAGTGTGGCATTAAAAGGCAGTGTTTCCCAAATTAAACAAAATAGCTGTTAGTTTCGAATGATGTGTGTAATGTAGAGAATTGTCTTTAGATTTTTGCAAAAAGTTTGTTTTACAACAGAGTTTAAAGCATGTAATGTGTTTGTAGTTCTGCAGACTTGGTCTAAAGATTAGGTATATGAGTGATTGGTTTCACTAAGTGGGCCTCAAGTATCACTTTTAGTGTCTAAGCAATTAAAAAAAAAACTGTAAGCCTTTCTTTCTTACAAGATTGTGTGTATATTTCTTCACCTGTTTTTAATATTGTCCAAATATTTTGAGGAGTGGTTATTGATTTGAATTTGACTTGTATTGCCTTTTTTTTCTTCCTCTTTTTGTGGAGTATACCTGCGTTTGTGATTGAACGTGTCTAATTAGGATGACCACCTGTTACCTATAAAGAGTTGCACCTCAGTTCATTTAATATATGCCTGACGAAGACCTGATGGTCGAAACGTTGCAATAATAAAATAATTTTATGGCGCAGTTATGTCAGTGTGTGGACAAAACGTGTTTTAGCTCATTGTTACCATGTTGTTAACATGTCAACAAACATGTTATTAACATGCTAAGCTTATAAAACATGCTAGACTATAACGAATCATCCACTGAAGGCGAGCGTAAGTGAGAACCCAAGTGCAGTTTATTTACAGTGTGATCCAAACATCCAAGCAATAATCCGTGACTTGACTTGACATGAACAAGGGACAGAGGGCCAGGCCCATGAAGAGGAACAGGCAGAGTGGGGGATTAGTTGCTAGGCGGTTGGTGACAGCTGGATTGTGACTGGAGCTCTGATGGTAGGAAGTAGCATAGATTCCGGAAGTGATCCGGAAATGGAGGATGATGTGGGAGATGTGGATAGTGGAGGCGGCGAATGGAGAGTAGTAGATAATCGGAAAAGAAAGAAAAGTTGGGGACAAATCTCAGAAACGGATAGTGAAAAAGGAAATCACCAGGCAAGACGAAGGAAAGAGGAGTATAAGGTATTGATTAAGTTTACTGAGTCTGTAAATGCTATTAATCCTTTAAAACTAACAAAAACTCTAAAAGAAACAATAGGGACGGTTGAAAGCATTAAGACATTGAGGGATGGCAAGCTGAAAAAACATGTTAGCAAAATGGTAGTAACATGGTAAAACACGTAGGAATGTGGTAAAACATTCAAACAACATAGTAAAATATGTTAAATGGTATTAACATGGTAAACATAGGAATGTGGTAAAATATTCAAACAGCATAGTAAAACATGTTTACATACTTGCTACGTGCTAGTACCAAGGTAAAATAAACTATCAACATGCTAACAATGCATTAAGACATGTTAGCACTATGCTAAAACACACTAACAACATGGTAGCAATGTGCTAAAACACATTAACAACATGCTAATGCATGTTATAGCAAGCATCAAAGTTAAATTTTTGTTCATTTTATTTTAGTTCTGGGAAAACTTAGATCTTGAGTCAAGTCTCATATTTTAGTCCTTCATCATGGACAGCAGGCCAAATTAGTTTACCCTCATTCCTCTGAAAAGTATAATAACATGTAAACTATTGTGATACAATCACTTACTGTTCTTGTCTGTGCAAAGTTATAAATTCTGTCTTGAGTATGTAAAGTCTGTAAACATAACCTTAAAAGTGATTGAAATTGTAAGAGCATTACTGAGCATTATGCAGCGTGCATGCCATGTTGTAATTACCGTAATTCCGAGATGACAACACATGATGTTCAACTTGGTGCTGTTCAGGTCCTCGGACTGGGGATTATCCGTTTCTATAGCGACAGTCAACAAAATGAACCAGCATGAAAGAATGTTACTGCCAGCTGTAAAACACAATACAAGTAACAGTTGCTATGCAAATGCATTATTATGACTCTTCATAATTATTTCTTTAGGTTGTTATTACATGGATAGCCTAGATATCTTACTCTGTGCTGCATGTCTTTCGTTTATGTTCACATTACTTTTGTATGAAAACGTCTACACTGGCAAAAGTCAATTACATGAATTTTAAAACATAAATATTATGAAATAACTGCTTATTTACAGTTTACTACTGGAAGCACCAACATTTTTATTTGGTTTCGTGTGAGGTGCAGTGGTCACGTGGTACAAGCCGTAGCTCTCAGAAAACAGCCAGTTCACAAGTTGTAATTATGAGTTCTACGAGGACGTGAACGCTTTTTTCAAGTTGGTATGTTGTAATTACGGTAATTACGATATGCCGTGAACACACCTTAACATTTTGTCAACTGTTGTTTAAGAATGTAGCATATAAATGATACTAAAACTAAAGTTTTAGATTGAAAGATTGATGATGTATTTTGTGGTGACCTCCACAGGTGTCACAGAAACCCAGCAACAGAGATGCTCGCTCATCTGTGACATGTGCTGTGGCACGAAACAGAGCTATACAGAAGAAACAAGAGCAGATAGAGGAGGTAAATGTATGTCTGTGTGGTGTGTGAAGGATCAGTTTCCAAAGTATAATAAGTCAGACTGATACTGGATTTTACCAATAATAATAAGTAAAGCACACATCACATGGCAGCAGAACATAGTTGTCATTACTGTATTTGAGTACTTAATATGATTACTTTTACATATAGTTTTTTTTTTTTAGGAAGACAACAATATTCTTTAACCAAACTCGCATCTGTCAATTTCGAGCAGCCACTATTATGTGTACTTTTCTTCTTCTTTTTTTTTTCACATGTGGTTTTGGTAACTCACAAAGACAGAAATATGAAGTGTGTATCATCTGTTTTTTTTTCACATGTGGTTTTGGTAACTCACAAAGACAGATATGAAGTGTGTATCATCTGATTTTTTATTTTTTTTGCTACTGATGAAAAGATCAATCAGTCCCATTGAACGTATTCACTATCCATACAGTTTCTCCCTCACTCCCCCCATACCATTCTCTGAAATAAATACATAATAATCATTCAAAGTTTTTCTGCCTAAACTTAAATCGTGTATTGCCATTATCAACAGAACTATTCCGGTATTCTAATCTATTCACTGCAGCACATACTTAGTTTAACTAAATAATACCCATATCTTTGTTACCTACAAAACTATTCAAGGAAATGCCAGGACTGGTTCCATGAGAATGGCACAGAGACTGAACAACTAATCTCCAAAAAAAGGAAAGCCTTCCGTGCCTGGCTATATGATGTAACCTGCAAGGCCAATGGGGTGGCTCATGCCAGAGCCAAGGAGAATGTCCACAGAAGGGGAGGGAGTTAAAGAATTCCTAGTGGACAGAAAAGGCTCTGAAAATCCAGAGACTGGCAGACTCGGGTGACATCAGAGCCCTTTTCAGTGCTACCAAGGCCATCTATGGTCCAAGTTTATGTGGCCTAAACACCTGCACACACATGGGATTGGCAGGAGCTGCCATTAACACCTGATCGAATGGGCACTTCCAAGAACTCCTCAACTGTGAACGCACAATTGAAATAGACATTTCCAAACATATCCCTCAGAGTCCCATCAGAGAAGGCATGGGGGAACCTCTTAACGGTAACAATGGCAAGATGCCACCAGGAGCCATAAGAACAATGAAGCTGCCAGTCCAGATGGAATCTCTGCTGAGATCTTAAAGGAAGGTAATTCAGAGTTCCTGTACCACATTCATGCCGTAATCCTCAAGGTCTGGAAAAAAACATGCACTTGTACAGAATCATGTACAGATGTACAACTTCTTTCCTCAAAAGCAGACATCAACCACCGACTGAGTTCTGCCAGTGGAGCCTACACCATACTCAGGAAGAGTCTTTGCAGCCTGAGAGCTAAAAGCCCAAACAAAACTCCCTGGTCTACAGAGCCATTGTCCCCTCCACCCTGCTGTATGAAGTCATGGACCACCTACAGCAGGGACCTGAGGGCCTTGGAACAATACCACTAAATGTCAAAATATTCTGAGTATTATCTAGGAGGACAGATTCACCAACACCAGTTTCTTGGAGGAAGCCAGCATGACCAGCGTCACTACCATAATAATGCCGTACCAACTTTGATGGACCCGCCCTGTCATCCGCATGTCTAACATATGTCTCCCCAAACAAATCATCCCAGCTGAAGGAAGGTCAGCAAGCCACTGGCAGAAGACATCCTCCTGGAAGAAATCCATAGAGGTGCTGCATGTCATGATATAGAACTCTGTGCTGCAGTGACAAAGTGACAGCTTTGCAAAGAGAAAGACATAAAGACTCAACCACCACCAATGCCTTGAAGGCTATTCACCAAGTGTTTGAGTGTGGTGCCACCACAGTGCCCTAAGTCTTTATGTCTGTGATCCGTACTTTCCTTTTCAAGTGCCACTACCAAATTGTAACCAGTGAGGTTTAGAATCAGAAGCGAGTGATGCTATGATAATGGTGTATGTAACCTCCATGCCATCAGGAGCGGAGTCAGACTGTAACCATCTGCCAGCGGTGTTGTTCTGTAAGCCAGCAATATCAGATAAGATCTTTAGCTATGTTGGCTTCTCTGGAGGCTGCTGGCAATGTGACTGAAGCTATGGTCCACTGCAAGGCTTGAAAATGAAAAACTCAGGCCTGCTGTCAGAGAAAAGAATCTCTGAAATTCCATGCTGTAAAAATATTGACTTTTACTGCACTATTACATTTAATAATTTATTGCTGGAGTTAGTTTGAAAAATTCCACAAGTCTGGAAAACATGCCACTACTAGTAGATCGGTGCTACCATGTTTTGAAAACAGGTATGCATCCCACATAAGTCCTGGTGGGGCAGGGAACTCATTGATAGCTAAGTTGCATGTTTTTAAGCATGTTTGCATCCACTTATTTGAGCCTAGCTACCAAATTGAGCTTTAAAATAGATGGCCATTCTGTGTGCAGATATTTGACCACATAAACATTCTCTTGCACAGCTTTTCATTACTAAGTGACTCCTTGGAAATTCCCATTACAGAAAGCATCCTGGCCTGCCTATATTGTATCTAAAGCAGTGAGTAAGAGAAACTCAGGTGAGCCGATGACGAGACAGAAGAGGGTTAGGTTTCTGGGTGGAACCAAATAATGCACAATTCTGGAGGAACTAGTGAAGGATGAAGGGCTAGGGTTCTGGATGGAACCAAAGAGCCAGCTCCACAAACTGACAAAATATCCCCAGAGGACTATTTTTGTGTAGCCACAATTTCAACAGTTAATCCATAATCAGCGCAACACTGGCCAAATCTCAAAATTCATGTGTGTGGTCCTTGAGGGGACTATCATCCTAGGTGATAATGAAGAGAAGGAGCAGTACCCCTGATAGATCCAATATATGGACTATTCTGTCATGGTGTTAGTGTTGGGTTCAAGTCCACCTAAGTCGACTCTGAGTCTTTAACCAATCGAGTTCAAGACCAAAATGGGCTGAATCGAACTCAAGTCCGAGTCCAAAAGGGCAGAGTCCGAGTCGAGTCCAAGTCCAACTAAACACTACTGTTTGTCAGTATCCTAACCTTCTTTTAACCTTTACAACTAGAAAAAGGCACTAACATGTGATTAAGCAATTAGTAGCATATTTGGCGTGCTGTCCAGAGGGAGGACTCCGAGCTCGGGTTAAAGCCCGAACCCAAAAAACTCCCCCCCCATTCCAAGAATGGGATGAAATTAGATTAGTAGTGAGGTGTTGGGGTGGAGGCGGGATGCTGTAAAACTTTCGTGGAACTGAGGTAAGTTGGCTGTATATATACACACGTATGTGCTTGTTTAGGTGATTAGCTGACGAGCTCCACCTGGACCAGACTGATTGATTATCTGATCGTGCTCCTCCCCAACCC